GCCACGCCAGCCGGAGCCTGGCCCTGTGCGTTGCTGTCTCGTGTGCCCCCAAGTGTCCCACCTCGCTCTGTTATTGCTGATCCCCAGGGCAGCTGGACAGCCCTGGATCTCGCCCTGAGGGCTCCAAAGGCAGGAATGGCTTTGGTGTACCCTAAAAGCACCGGCAGCTGGATGACTGTGCCGCGCTTTGAGCTTCTGCTGGCCAGAGGGGACGAGGCCCTTCCCGTGCAGATGCTGTGGCTCCAACGCTGCCACGGTGCAGGACGCACGAGAGGGGGCTTGGTGGCGGTCGCAGGGTGGGTGTTAGTGACCAGCAGTGGCACTGCCAGGCTGTGCAAACCAATCTGCAAGGGGTGCGGCGAAGAGGTGCTCTCCACTGCCGTGGAGCTGCTCATCACCGAGCCAGTGCGGCAGCTGGGTTTTGGACTCGAGGGGACGGCGCGCGGGGGGACCGGCTGTCCCCGCAGGCGTTGCTGCTGCCTGCCGCTGCGGCGTGGCACAGCTCACCTCCCTTCTCTCCGCTCCCCAGTACGAAGTGTCCGGCGAGGAGCACCTCTACTCCAGCTTCCCCGAGATTGACTTGTCCCAGCTGGATGCCAGCGACTTCGACTCCGCAGGCTGCCTCAGCGAGCTGCAGTGGTGCAGGGAGCACTCGGAGACCCCCCCCAGCCAGTACAGCACCGACGACTCCGAGCTCTTCCAGGTACCCCCACCCTGCTGGGTGACCGAAGGGTGGGTGCTGGGGGAGAGCAGGGGACACACACTACTAGTAATAGCTCCTCCCCAGTTGATTAGCGTTCCATTAATTTGCTCGCTGGCTCTAAATGGAGCAAGCAGAGTAGGGCTAATGAGGAGGTGGGTGAGCAGAGGAGGGGTTGCTGGGCTGGTTCTCCTGTGATGTACTATTAAAAGGGAATTATGGCTGGTGCCCAGCATGTCCCGTTTGGTTCTTGGGGTGGCAGAGTGTGCTGGGGTGGCAGTGCTGGGGTTGCAGGGCTGTGGGGTGGGAACGTTAATTTCTCAGGAGCAGAAAGCAGCCCCTTGCCCTTGGCTCTCCTGCTCTGGGGTCCTCCCTTTGTTTGGGTCTGGGGTCCTGCTGGCAGAGGCTGGCTGGTTTCTCTCCCTGCCTTTGCTCTGGGGAGACCCTGTTGCTCTGCTGGCACTGGGATGGTGTGGGGTGAAGCGGTGCTGGGCAGAGGGTGCTCCCAGGCACTGGCAGGGCTGGTCCCTGTCCCTCAGTGTGGTTTTGCCTCTTGTGATGGGTGAGCTGAGCATCTCGCAGAGCGGTGGTGCCGGGCAGGGCTGTGAGCACGGCGCAGGCATGTTGGATGCAGCGAGCTGTGGAGGCTGCCCTGGGGACCGGGGGCAGAGCTGGCTGGGCAGGCCATTTGCCTTTCCTAAAGCTTGTTCCGTGCCCTGGTTGTGCCCTCCTGAGTGGCACCCAGGCCCTTGCCCCCTCGGACAAGGAGGCTGTGACCTACTGGTGCCCACCAGTCGCCAGCTCTGGGTTGCATTTTGGGAAGGAGAAGGATTTTAATTCAAACAAGGGAGGGGAGGAAAAAAAGCCCCAGTATTTTCTAACCTGGCCATAATAACAACCCTCTGGCTTTTATGCTGTGCTGATGCTGTGCTTGAAAATGGTCCAGTCCAGCTGAGGGACCTTCATCACGAGATGCATATTTTCCGCTGAACTTCCTGGGGAAAAGATAAACAGAAAAGAAATGTGAAAGACAGGCCCATTAGGAGGAGCGGAGTATGATGAAATGTATCCCACTGAACTTGTGTGCGCAGCGGTCTCGTGCCAATAACAGGAGGAAAAGAAATGGAGCCAAAAATGGAGCATCCTGCTGCCTTTCCCTGGAGCCTGCTCTAGTAACTGCGAGCAAGGTTAGGGCACGGAATGAAAGATATTTAATTTTCAAACAAGATGAGAGAAACATGGGAGGCTGTGTGCAGTCAACAGTCCTCCTTGCGAGCCTCAATTTACCCCAGTGGTAATTTTATAGCCGATGGCAGCCTGCTTCTTGTTGGACATGGTTTACATTCAGAATGTGATGGAGGAGGACCAGAAAGAAGGAGCTCCTGGCTCACTTCAGCCATTCCTCAGCTTCTGCATCCTCTTCTGGGCTTCTGCACCGTATTTCCAGGCTGGGAGGGGACTCGTGGGGCTGCGTGGGACTGGGATGGTGCTGGGAGGGCTGGGGGTGCGTCAGCCAAGGCGAAGCCAAGATGGAAAGAGGGGCTCGGGCTGAGCTTCCCCTGTGCCCTACTGGGGGCCATACACCCCCATACGCTGGGCAGCCCTGGGCTGAGCGTACGATGGCTCTCCACGTTTCCTTGGCCTTCCCTGTCAGGAGAGCTGTGAACAAGCAGCCGTGCCCTCTCGGGCCGTGCCTGCCCCTCCGCAGGCCT